AACCCTGGTCAGCCGTGTAGGATCTGGTTCCCTGTGCACAGCACCATTGTGCTATGGGCCAGCCCTAAACATACTAATACACACACACACACACACACACACACACACACATTCACACACATAATATATACCTCAGCACTATCTTAGATGTAAAGATACTTCTCATGTGTGCTCCTCAGCATAGTATTTCAGGCATGAACCATATCTGGGTGATCTGTATCCTACTGAAGGACAGCCATGTCCTTTTGTTCTCGCTCATCTTCCTTTTCTTTCTCATTACTCTCTTTTTCTTCCTTCTCCACTTCCTCTGTTTGTCCTCCTTGGCCTTACCATTCTTGTCTTCCTCCTACTCCTCTTCCTGTTGCCCCTGCTCCTTTTCAACCTCCTCTTTGTTCTCCTCAGTTTCTTCATCCTCCTCCCCATCCTCCTCCTCATCTTCCTCTTCCTCATGCATCGCTGTTTTCTTCCTCCTCGCTCTGCGCCTCTTCCTCTCACCTCCTCCTTTTCGGCTCTGCCCTGCTTAAAGTTCAACTGTTCTGCAGCGAAGCCACTGGCTTTCTCTGTTCTAGTCTCTTAGTACCCTTTTTTCCCTTTTGCCTGTTGCCTTTTCTCTTCCATATTCATATTAGGATTTTATTTAGTTTCCCTTCTACTTTCTTACTTTTGGTTTATGATGTTCTTCCTCCCCCTATTTTGATTACTTTACACTTTGCTTTGACTTTCATTTCCATTAATAACTGAGAAGCATTAAGAGCCTTTGCTGAAGACACTCATTTTTGTCAGAGCCAAGTTAGAGCTCAGATCCCCTGGGTTTTAGGCTTGGTCTTTTCACTGGATCAAGGTGCCTCCTTACAGCTGAGAATAGAAATAGCTTAGACTACAAGTCCAAAAGTAAGCAAGTAAACACCACCAACAGTAGACAAAAATAAAAGCAGAGAGAGAGAAAAATACTAACTTAATTAAAGGAACTTGAATTTTAAATTCCCTCTCTCAATGATTTAGTTTCAGGTGAATTATGAAAGAACTCTTTGTGAATTTTTTTTCCTACTTCGGTTTATTCCAAAACTATTAAAAATGTATCACTTGTAACCCACCCACCAGTATCTTGGGATCTAAGCTCATAGAACTAACATGTGGCATAATAAATAGAGTCAATAATGCCTGCACTTAGAAGTAAGAGACTCATGCCTGATATATTAATTTAATTTCTTTTGCAGAATCAAGGCTGTTTGTGTACAGACTCAGTGTAATAGCAGGTAGTCGAGACTTGGGCTTGTCGTCTTTGCCCTAAATCAGCACCAGTAAATAAGGAAATTATAAATATGCAATTAGGTAAACCAAGTTGGGAGTTGAAAATTACTGTCTTAATTCAAAATAGTCTTGTTAAAGGTCAGGCCCGTAAGTTTTTACAAAGCCCAGTTTGCTTTCTCCATGGCTTTTCCCATGACCACTCTCCTTCAGCTGTTCCTGCTTCCTCCTTGGGGCACTTCTTACCACGTCACCCCTCTGTCATGTACGAAGCCATCGCTGATGTTTACCCTGTGCCTTTAAGATACATTTATGAAGTACAAATAGTGTATTTGAAAATAAGATGGAATGTCTCTATGAAAATGAGATTTCCTTTAAAAAACATTTTTACCTATTTATTTCTTCCCTTAGTGAGAGAGACTGAGAGACAGAGAAACAGGTGCCCTCAAAAAGGTTTCACGCCGTGATCTGTCCCTGGCTCTGGCCAGTCTCGAGTCCCAGGGCCTCATGCTCCTCGTATGTTCAAGGAGGCCTCCAGATATGAACCTGAGCCTTCCCATGTGGGTCAGCCTCAGGCTGCCTGGCCCTGAGGCTTGCTTTTTAAAGTCGATGAGATTAAGGGCCAGCAGGTGGTGGTGTGGTTAAGGTTCTGGACTCCTACGTGGTTGACTGTGGTCTGAATCCCAGACCTGGAGGCTCGAAACTCATGCTGGGTGCATGTGCGTGTGTGCCCCAAACCCCGAGGAGAATAGAGAAGAGAGGATTGCAGCATGGCCATCCCTCCGGGGGTGCTTTTTCTCTTTCTGCCTCTCTGTCCAGTGAGCACATGGAAAAATTCTCTCTCCAGCAAAATTCTCTCTCTCTCTCTCAAAAAAAAAAAAAAAAAAAAAAAGGATGAGATTAGACATGTATTCCAACATTGCTCTGTTGTTTAGAACAGTTTTTTTGAGAGGTGGGAGAGCTCTCAAACCCCATTGAAAACAAGAATTCCCCTTCCCCATACATTTAGAGTAGTGAAATACTTACTAGAGAAGCCCATTTGTTTTCTTTTTATCCCTAGGTAGGGTCAGCAACCTTTTCGTGCTTTAGTTTCCCAGCTATTAAGTGATGATAATGTGGTACTTTCTTCATAGAATTGTTCTAAGTGAACGGGATTCTTAGAGTGCATGGAAGAGAAGAGGAACTAAGACTTCCTTTTACTCCTTGTTCCCAAGTAAACCATATCTCTTACCTTTAAAACAGCAGAGTGCTCGGAGCAGAGCCCCACACATGGTGAACACCGGAGGCCTGTGCTATTAGAGGAGAGGGCCACAGAGATGGCTGCTGGTGCTCGCCTCCCGTATTAATAAATAGGTTACCTTTTAATTTGGTAGAGGAGCGGGTGCACTCACTGAAGAGAGACACAGAGAATTGACCGTCCAGGGGATGGCCACACCGCAGTCCCTTCTCCATTTGCCTTGTGGGATTTTTGGCATGCACGTGTGCCCCGCATGTCCCTCAAACTGCCAGGCTGGGACTCGCACTGCACAGTCAGCCACATGGGGTCTGGGCGCCCCGACCGCCAGCCACCAGCCAGCCCTCCATGTTAATTTTTAAAACTTACTTGCCCTAAATGATTTGTCTGCGTCTATAAACAAAAAGCATCCCCCAAAGATGCAGATTTGTTGGGCCAGTGGGTGGTGTGCTGGTCGAGGCTCTGGCCTCCTGCATGGTTGACCATGGCTCAACTTTGGAACCTGGCAGCTTGCTTGCTCACTTTCCACCTGCCCCCTCTAGTGGGCACATGTGCCCTCTAGCACATTAAAAAAACAATCAATCAATAATTTGAAAATTTTATATTAAAAAGATGCAGATTTGTCACCAGTGAAGTAGTGAAAAGGCGTATTGCTAGATCTAAAGTCAGTTTGGAAAAGATTGGCCCCAGAAGTGTGCTGAGCAACGAGGCGAAGTTGGAGTAACAGTGATCCTCTTAGCTGATCACTCTGAAGGAAGCCCTTCTCCATCGGGTATATATTACATGTAAAAAGCAGCAGTACAGGGGCCAGCAGGTGGCATAGCGGTTAAGGAAATGGATTCTCATATGGCTGACCACGGGTTTGAGTCCCAGACCTGGTGTTTGAAACTCATGTTGGGTGTGTGTGTGTCTGTGTGTGTGTGTGCCCAGACTGCAGGAGGAGAATGTAGGAGAAGGGATTGCAGTATGGTCATCCCTTCAGGGGGCTGATTTATCACTTCCTGTCTCTCTCATGAGTGCACACACCCTATAGCAAAAATTTCTCTCTCAAAAAAAATATGTAACTATATACTCTCCACTGGTTTCTCTGATGTAAATATGCCTCTTAAAGATAAAAGCGGTCTTTTCCATTTTCAAGTATTTTCCGTAGCATTCAGCAGTGGTTTACAAATGGCAGGTGTTCAGTAAATATGCTGATCAGCTGCGGAGGTAGAGGTACGGGGAGGAGGATCAGGAAGAAACGATCTCCAGTTCATGGCAAGCTGCTCTCCCACTTCAATGAATTTGGACTTTTATTTTTTCCTACCACTTTTGGAAACTGCTTTAGATGGCATTTGCCATTTGATTTTGTACAAGCCAGTAAATTTTATGGGAACCTACATTCCCACAGAGGATCTGTCCTAGGAGTTTCTTTTTTTGTTATTTCAAAATGGAAAGAAGTGCTACTGTAAAGTCAGGCCTGTCCCGGTCACACGTCATGAACTTTATTAAGAGAGTAATTGGAATTTTGAGCTTGTAGGGACCATGTTGTCATAGCCTAAACACCCAGTGCAATGCCCGGAACCGAGTGGGCACTCAGTGAATTGTCGGAAATAAGGGACTCCTTTAGTGCGCTCCTCTTTATTTCAGGGCTGAAGGGCTCACTGTGATGCTGTGCCCACAGTCACACAGTGACCTCGGAGCGACTAGGACAAATGTGGTCGCGAGATGACATTTACATTGTAACGTGGGAAGGACTTTACATTAGTCTTTGGGTAACCTCTTATGTTTTTTTTGTTGTTGTTGTTTGTTTTGTTTTTGCTACAGGGAGCATGCACTTGCCAAAGAGACAGAGAGACAGCAAGAGAGAAATCACCCCCCACCCAGGGGGATTGGCCACACCACAATCCCCTCTCCTCCATTCTCCTCTTGGAATTTTGGGCACTCACGCACATGTACCTGACACGAGTTTCAAACCACCAGGTCTGGGACTCAAACTGTGGTTGTTTATATGGGAGTCCAGCACCTCAACCACTATGCCACCTGTTGTCTCTTCAACTTTTAAAAATAATTATTTAATTTTATTTATCATTATCATTATTATTATATTTAATTATATGAGAGAGAGAAAGAGAAAACAAGCCACCAGGTCTGAGACTTGAACCATGGTCAGCCATGTGGGGGTCCAGCACCTCAACCACAGTGCCACCTGCCAGCCCCTTTATATTAAAGGATGTGTGTGAATCAAATCTGTAGGTTACTCTGTTGCATCTTGGGAAGGCAGCAGTAAGGATTTGTTCATACAAGTACAAAGGACAGTTTTAAGAGGAAACTACTAAAATGTGTTGTTCGAGGTGCGTCATTGGTTCCCCCCCTTCTTCTTTCCCCTCTTACATGTTCTCGGGGTTTCCTGTCCATTAGGAAAGACTTTCTGGTGGAACAGTTTTCCGCTCCAATGACAAAACCCACCCCTTCCTGTTTGCCCGTCAGATTTGAGGAAATGCCGGCGCTCACGTGCGGTTTCTCTGCTCTGTTACAGGATGGGAAGAGGGAGCCCAGCTCATGCGCCTGTCTGAAGGGGCCCAAGCTGTCTGATATAGGGACTATTGCCTGGATGATAACGCTCAGCGACGCCCTGCACAACTTCATCGACGGGCTGGCGATCGGGGCCTCCTGCACGCTGTCCCTGCTGCAGGGCCTCAGCACATCCATCGCCATCCTGTGCGAGGAGTTCCCCCACGAGCTAGGTGAGGTGCGCCGCTCCTGCCCCTGCTCATGCCCACGCCCACGCCCCGCGGGGCGGCTCCTGCTCCTTCTCAGCGGTCCTGGCATTGTCCTCTCGGGTGGTGCCCTCTTCCCGTCCTGCCGAGGCAGCACAGCGAAGGGGCCCTTGCCGGACAGTGACGATCTCTTTGATTTAATCCAACATAGCAGAAATAGTACTCAGCTGCCATTTTCTTCTCCCAGGGGACTTCGTGATCCTCCTCAATGCCGGGATGAGCACCCGGCAAGCCTTGCTGTTCAACTTCCTTTCGGCCTGCTCCTGCTACCTTGGGCTGGCTTTCGGCATTTTGGTGGGCAACAACTTTGCTCCGAACATCATATTTGCACTCGCCGGAGGCATGTTTCTCTACATCTCTCTGGCAGATATGGTAAGAAATCAAACATCTTCAGTTAAAATGGAAAATGAGCATCTGGGTTATGAGCTGATCGAGGGTGACCCCCTGCTTTTCACGATGTTACAGCCCTTTCTGTTGCAATGAAAAACATCCCTGTCTCGCTGCCCCCCTGCTGCCCCCCTTCTGCGTGGTGTGCGCTGACAGCATCTGACAGTGACTGTCCTGGAGTCTTTAATCTAGGGTCGTATTGTTGGAGGGTGTGGTGTGTGTGCGCGCCAGAAAGACAGAGAGAGACGGAGAGACAGAAAGTGAGAAATCACCCCCCAGGGGGGATGGCCACGCCACAATCCCTTCTCCTCCATGCTCCTCTCAGGATCTTGGGCATGCACACACACGCGCCCGGCGTGAGTTTAAGCCACTGAGTCCGGGACTTGAACTGCAGTCAACTACGTAGGAGTCCAGCAACATAGTCATTACATAACTGCTGTTCCCATGAGGATGTTATGTTTGGAAGATAAATAACATGTTAGTGTGAATAACCTGTTGGTATTTCAGAGTTCTGAATAGGGATGGCATTTTGCATTAAACTAAAATGGATACACTACAATTGGTGAAATTAAAATGTGACACTCTTAATTTGGATGAGTATGAACTTATGTCTGTTTTTATGCCCATGCAGCGTCTGTGTCTATCTGTGTGTATGTGTGCACACACATTTGGGAATGTGCATGTGTGTGTCACAGTGTGCATGTACTTGGGAAGGTGTGTGTGTGTGAGAGAGAGAGAATACCCTGTGACTTTCCAGATGAATCTTGGACAGCGTCCTAGAGAAGGAGAACGCGCTAGTGGATGAAGATCCAGCACCACTCCTTTTGCACTGGGAGCGGAATGCATTACATCCATAATTTAGTAATTCGGCTTCCCTCATCTGCACCCCCAGCTTCACTGTCTAGCCCTGTTCAGCGTACTGTGCAAATCCTTTAAAGAACGAGGGTTTCATCTCTCAGAACCATCATGGCATTTGTATTTTTCTTCACAGAATGAGCGTCTCACACTCGTCCGTCCTAGGTGGTCACTTCTCCTTTCTCTGACCTGAGGACAGAATCTCTCCGTGGTGTTCAGTTTAAGGAAATAACCCTAAGAAGTGATGCTGTATACATTCCACAGCAGCTCTGCTTTCCTCCGAGTGGCTTTCCACTCACCCTCACGTAGTTTATCCTAGCAACAAGTTCCTGAAGTAAGGTTTTCAGTGCGAGTTGACAGGCTTCTGCAGACTTGGATGCGCTGGTGCCATGCAAAGCAAAGGGCAGGTCCCCATGGAGCCTGCTCCGAACTCTTGGCATTGACAGATCTACTTATGAAGCCTTTTCAGAAGTGATCTGCTGAGAAAGGGTAGATTTTAAGTATAATACTTAGGGTTTTACTTGTTTTCACTGTAATGGATAGTTACAGTCTTCAGTCTTAGAAAAGCACACAGTTGTTTTCAAAAGCTTATAATTTTTCCAGAGTACAGCAAGCTGAAGGAAATAGAAGAAATCAAGAATTAAATGTAGGGGCCAGCAGGTGGTATAGTGGTTAAGGCCCCAGACTTCCACATGGCCGATTGCGGTTTGCGTACCGGGCCTGGAGACTTGAAACACACTGGATGTGCGTGCATGTTGCCCAAAATCTTGAGAGGAGAGTGGAAGAGAAGAGACTGTGGTGTAACTCCCCTCAGGGGGAGGGTGGTGGTGATTTCTCACTTTTTCTCTCATTGTCTCTCCTGTATCTCACTTTCCTTCTCTCTGTTTCTCTCCGGCAAGTGCATGCACTGTATGGCAAAAACTTAAAAGAAAATAATAAAAAGAATTAAATGTATATTTTAAAAGTGTATTTAATCAGCTAAGATGATATATTCATCTTACCAGGCCTAGAAATCTGAGGCCCTGGGGTCCCTGCAGTGAGCAAAGTAGACCCTTCCCTGTATTTGCTGGCCTTTCATCTAGAAAGAGGAGAGCCAGAGAGTAACAGCTACACAGTGACTCAGTAATTACAGACAACAGCAAGCCTGTGAAACAGGAGGAAAGCGAGGCCCATGCTGAGAGACAGTGATAAGGGACTCTAGTATAAACGAAGGGAAGGGTTTTGGGCAGGTATAAGTTAACGGAGAACCCGAAGGATTTAGTGCACCAAAACATTTGAAGGGAGGAGAATTCAGGTAGAGGTGTTGGCAGTTGCGATGATTTTGAAGCATGAGAGAGGCTGGATGCATCTGAGGTTCTGGAATGCTGGTGTGGATGGAGCAGAGGAGCGGGAAGAGAGAAAAAGGGGTGAGAATGCATGAAGAGAGGTAAACCCATGGCAGGGACTGCCTCAGTGGGAGAGGAGTGTGACCCCGAATGCCTCCTGTCGAGGTCAGAAAGATAATCCCATTGTACTCTTCACCTAAAACACTTAGACGTCTGAAAAAGACGCACAGATCCCCTGCAGAAACGCCACGTGGCTGTTTCACGGCTTACCACGAGATGGCAGCAGTGACCTGACAATCTGTCTCTTCCAGTTTCCAGAGATGAACGACATGCTGAGAGAAAAGGTAACCGGGAGGAAGACCGATTTCACCTTCTTCCTGATCCAGAATGCCGGGATGCTCACCGGGTTCACAGCCATCCTGCTCATCACCTTGTACGCGGGAGAGATCGAACTGGAGTAAGGGGAGCTGCACGGGCTGTGGTAGTGGATGCATTTAACAGACACGTCTGCAGAGAGATTTGCAAGCTGGTCCTCTGGAGTTAAAAGATAATTTTGTTTTCAACTGGAGGTCAAGAAAACTGATGACTGGTCTCAGATCTGCGAACTAAGCCATTATTTGTTGTTGAAAATGCTTCCGGGGTCTTTGGTTCCATTCCGATATGCCTGGTACATGAGATCGTTGGTTAATACCCATTTTGTGATGTTTTTTATGCCTATTAGAAAATCACAAAGTAAGAAACTTGCTTTCTATAATCACATAGATAGCTAGATCCACAGAAAAATACAAGTTAGGGTGTATAAACTTTTACAACTTTATGATAGGATCAAAGATTCAAGTAGTTTCAGAGTGGTTTTCTTTTAATTAACTTGTTCTGGGGTTTTCAAGAGCAAGAACATCAAAATGTGGAAATCAAAATGTGCACAACACCCATATAAATGATCCCAAGGCCCCATGAACCCAGAAAGGGAAGAGTGTGTGCAGCTTGCGTTCTGTTTGCTGCTTCATTTAGGAACTTGTGGGGTTGTTCTGAAAACCATTACAGAAGAATTTTGAATTAGGAAGTAAATTAAGTTTTGCTAGCCCTGCTTAGCTTGGGCCGAGATTCCAGATTCCGTAAAAAGCCAGAATTTCTTTTCCTTTTTTTTTTTTTTTTGTGACTTGGGTTCTGGCTGTACCTCTTACAAAGGGCAGAGCAGCACGGAGAGCTGGTGCCGACTGGGTTCCAGGGAACCACGTGTTGACTTTGCGAAGAGGAAGAGTCTATGGGTGTAGAGAAAGACCTCGAATGGCCTTTTGAGCAATTTGTTTTTATAGAGGAACATAATGACTTAGCAGAGAATATTTTACTGACTGCAAAACAACAGCTTGACCACTGGACATGAAGAACTGAGGAACTAGAAACATACTTCCCTTACGGGTGAAGGCAATTCATTCAAAAAACTTCTCTCGGCTCGCTCTGCATTTTCCCATGTGGTGTATTTTGGGGAACAGAGTAGCACATTGTGGTTATCTTTCTACCTTTATAAGAGATGACGTCTGTTTACGCCTTTAGTAGACACAGAAAATTGGTCTAAATTGAACGTCCCAACCCCAGTGACACTCCCAAGTCACTTCAGGAAAGATCATTTGACCATGAGGAAAATGATCGCTACAAGCCGATAATGCTCTCAGGAATTACGTTTTCCCACAGGCCATAACATATTTTCACATAGCAATAGTGTGGATTTGACAGATATTTAACATGTATGTTAATGTATGTTTCACTTTGTGACTGACAATGAAAAAAAAAATGATTGTTGGACCAAAGAGTAAACACTTTTGAAGCCATGGATTGTGCTGTTTCTTATTCGCTGTTTCTTTTTCGAGTGACTCTCGTGTCCCTTGTTATTACAGGGGAGGGAGAGAAAGAGGACATTGACGATGTGTTTATTCTCAAAGATATTGAGCAAATACATACTGTGAAGATTTAGCATGCTTCACTAAAATCAAGAATGGACTCTTTTATCATTTCATCTTTTGAAATTCATTATTCAGAAATAACGTTGGCCTTTTTAAAGCACAAATTGTATGTTTGGTTTAAGAAGCTATTTGCAATATTACATTAAAACAAGATCGTTCGCTGAACTCTCTTTTGGCATAGATCGGTGTGGATGTGCGTTGTTTGGGCGCCTCTTGGTATTTTCCCCGTGTGTTCACATTTTGGTTATTTTCCTAAACTATGAGACTAGAGGCAACGGCACAAAGACTCAAAAGGCAACAAGAAAATTGCTACTTACTGGAGGGCTGTGGCGGAAGGTAGAAGGTATGGCGTGCAAATGGATGTTTAAAGCTACCATGACAAATCGAAAATGATCTCAGTGCTCTCTGTATTGGGTTATATACTTTTGTTTCTGCATGATTAACCTTTAAAAATGCCTGCTGAGCAGCCGGGTGGTAGTGCAGTGGTGAGATACGGTGTCTTGTGAGGCTGACCCACTTGGGAAGGTTCCAGGTTCCTGTCCAGAGACCTCCCTGAGGGTGCCATGATACCTCTGCATACCCGTGATTCGGGCTGACTGAGGCTGGGGATGGATGGTGAGGTCAAGACTCCACTGGGGGTGCATTCTCTCTCTATTTCTCTTTCTGACTCTCGCCCATGGAAATGATAAATAAGCTTAAAAACAGAAGTAAGAGTTGGCTTTTATTGGGTATTGTATCAGACCCCCTATTAGCGTTGTAATGTGAACTAACAAACCTCTTGAAGAATCAGGCTCGTAGAGCAAGCGGCTGTTCTCATGCCCAGGGTCTGCTGATGGAGGCTCTATGGCCGATTGCGGTTTGCGTACCGGGCCTGGAGACTTGAAACACACTGGATGTGCGTGCATGTTGCCCAAAATCTTGAGAGGAGAGTGGAAGAGAAGAGACTGTGGTGTAACTCCCCTCAGGGGGAGGGTGGTGGTGATTTCTCACTTTTTCTCTCATTGTCTCTCCTGTATCTCACTTTCCTTCTCTCTGTTTCTCTCCGGCAAGTGCATGCACTGTATGGCAAAAACTTAAAAGAAAATAATAAAAAGAATTAAATGTATATTTTAAAAGTGTATTTAATCAGCTAAGATGATATATTCATCTTACCAGGCCTAGAAATCTGAGGCCCTGGGGTCCCTGCAGTGAGCAAAGTAGACCCTTCCCTGTATTTGCTGGCCTTTCATCTAGAAAGAGGAGAGCCAGAGAGTAACAGCTACACAGTGACTCAGTAATTACAGACAACAGCAAGCCTGTGAAACAGGAGGAAAGCGAGGCCCATGCTGAGAGACAGTGATAAGGGACTCTAGTATAAACGAAGGGAAGGGTTTTGGGCAGGTATAAGTTAACGGAGAACCCGAAGGATTTAGTGCACCAAAACATTTGAAGGGAGGAGAATTCAGGTAGAGGTGTTGGCAGTTGCGATGATTTTGAAGCATGAGAGAGGCTGGATGCATCTGAGGTTCTGGAATGCTGGTGTGGATGGAGCAGAGGAGCGGGAAGAGAGAAAAAGGGGTGAGAATGCATGAAGAGAGGTAAACCCATGGCAGGGACTGCCTCAGTGGGAGAGGAGTGTGACCCCGAATGCCTCCTGTCGAGGTCAGAAAGATAATCCCATTGTACTCTTCACCTAAAACACTTAGACGTCTGAAAAAGACGCACAGATCCCCTGCAGAAACGCCACGTGGCTGTTTCACGGCTTACCACGAGATGGCAGCAGTGACCTGACAATCTGTCTCTTCCAGTTTCCAGAGATGAACGACATGCTGAGAGAAAAGGTAACCGGGAGGAAGACCGATTTCACCTTCTTCCTGATCCAGAATGCCGGGATGCTCACCGGGTTCACAGCCATCCTGCTCATCACCTTGTACGCGGGAGAGATCGAACTGGAGTAAGGGGAGCTGCACGGGCTGTGGTAGTGGATGCATTTAACAGACACGTCTGCAGAGAGATTTGCAAGCTGGTCCTCTGGAGTTAAAAGATAATTTTGTTTTCAACTGGAGGTCAAGAAAACTGATGACTGGTCTCAGATCTGCGAACTAAGCCATTATTTGTTGTTGAAAATGCTTCCGGGGTCTTTGGTTCCATTCCGATATGCCTGGTACATGAGATCGTTGGTTAATACCCATTTTGTGATGTTTTTTATGCCTATTAGAAAATCACAAAGTAAGAAACTTGCTTTCTATAATCACATAGATAGCTAGATCCACAGAAAAATACAAGTTAGGGTGTATAAACTTTTACAACTTTATGATAGGATCAAAGATTCAAGTAGTTTCAGAGTGGTTTTCTTTTAATTAACTTGTTCTGGGGTTTTCAAGAGCAAGAACATCAAAATGTGGAAATCAAAATGTGCACAACACCCATATAAATGATCCCAAGGCCCCATGAACCCAGAAAGGGAAGAGTGTGTGCAGCTTGCGTTCTGTTTGCTGCTTCATTTAGGAACTTGTGGGGTTGTTCTGAAAACCATTACAGAAGAATTTTGAATTAGGAAGTAAATTAAGTTTTGCTAGCCCTGCTTAGCTTGGGCCGAGATTCCAGATTCCGTAAAAAGCCAGAATTTCTTTTCCTTTTTTTTTTTTTTTTTTGACTTGGGTTCTGGCTGTACCTCTTACAAAGGGCAGAGCAGCACGGAGAGCTGGTGCCGACTGGGTTCCAGGGAACCACGTGTTGACTTTGCGAAGAGGAAGAGTCTATGGGTGTAGAGAAAGACCTCGAATGGCCTTTTGAGCAATTTGTTTTTATAGAGGAACATAATGACTTAGCAGAGAATATTTTACTGACTGCAAAACAACAGCTTGACCACTGGACATGAAGAACTGAGGAACTAGAAACATACTTCCCTTACGGGTGAAGGCAATTCATTCAAAAAACTTCTCTCGGCTCGCTCTGCATTTTCCCATGTGGTGTATTTTGGGGAACAGAGTAGCACATTGTGGTTATCTTTCTACCTTTATAAGAGATGACGTCTGTTTACGCCTTTAGTAGACACAGAAAATTGGTCTAAATTGAACATCCCAACCCCAGTGACACTCCCAAGTCACTTCAGGAAAGATCATTTGACCATGAGGAAAATGATCGCTACAAGCCGATAATGCTCTCAGGAATTACGTTTTCCCACAGGCCATAACATATTTTCACATAGCAATAGTGTGGATTTGACAGATATTTAACATGTATGTTAATGTATGTTTCACTTTGTGACTGACAATGAAAAAAAAAATGATTGTTGGACCAAAGAGTAAACACTTTTGAAGCCATGGATTGTGCTGTTTCTTATTCGCTGTTTCTTTTTCGAGTGACTCTCGTGTCCCTTGTTATTACAGGGGAGGGAGAGAAAGAGGACATTGACGATGTGTTTATTCTCAAAGATATTGAGCAAATACATACTGTGAAGATTTAGCATGCTTCACTAAAATCAAGAATGGACTCTTTTATCATTTCATCTTTTGAAATTCATTATTCAGAAATAACGTTGGCCTTTTTAAAGCACAAATTGTATGTTTGGTTTAAGAAGCTATTTGCAATATTACATTAAAACAAGATCGTTCGCTGAACTCTCTTTTGGCATAGATCGGTGTGGATGTGCGTTGTTTGGGCGCCTCTTGGTATTTTCCCCGTGTGTTCACATTTTGGTTATTTTCCTAAACTATGAGACTAGAGGCAACGGCACAAAGACTCAAAAGGCAACAAGAAAATTGCTACTTACTGGAGGGCTGTGGCGGAAGGTAGAAGGTATGGCGTGCAAATGGATGTTTAAAGCTACCATGACAAATCGAAAATGATCTCAGTGCTCTCTGTATTGGGTTATATACTTTTGTTTCTGCATGATTAACCTTTAAAAATGCCTGCTGAGCAGCCGGGTGGTAGTGCAGTGGTGAGATACGGTGTCTTGTGAGGCTGACCCACTTGGGAAGGTTCCAGGTTCCTGTCCAGAGACCTCCCTGAGGGTGCCATGATACCTCTGCATACCCGTGATTCGGGCTGACTGAGGCTGGGGATGGATGGTGAGGTCAAGACTCCACTGGGGGTGCATTCTCTCTCTATTTCTCTTTCTGACTCTCGCCCATGGAAATGATAAATAAGCTTAAAAACAGAAGTAAGAGTTGGCTTTTATTGGGTATTGTATCAGACCCCCTATTAGCGTTGTAATGTGAACTAACAAACCTCTTGAAGAATCAGGCTCGTAGAGCAAGCGGCTGTTCTCATGCCCAGGGTCTGCTGATGGAGGCTCTGTTGACCCGGTTGGGGCCCTGTGGGGTGGCCGAGTAGTATTGGAGCCATACAGTCATGTGCAGAAGGGCATGGCTGTATAAATCTAATACAGGGAGAGGGAGAGCAGGCACACACTGATTCGTTTTGCCTTAAATTGTCTCTATAGACTATTTTACCTAGTACAAAAGAGCTACTATCAATAATTCAAGAGCTTCTAGAACCATCTCCCTGTTCACACTATAGTATTTATCCTAATTCCTTTTGATGAGAATATAATTTTCTTTCCTTGACCACTGCAGGTTGCTATGGATGGGTTATGGCTGGAACACTTCAGGGAAGTCGGGCTTATCTATGACTGGTAGACCTAGCCGAGCCGTGGTTCATTTCTACAGCCAGCTGGAGACTGCGGTGACCATGTCAGTGCCTGACTGGCTTCCTGAGGACTTCTCAGTGCTTCACCAGGCTCTACTGAATTGGGTATTTCTGGCTTACCACATCTAAAGATTCTTTAGGAACTATTGGGTCATCGGAAAATTCATGACATGTTTCACTATGTTTTTCTATGCAAAAGTGTGTCATGACTTTTCCAACAACCCAACATTGAGAAGAACCAAACGACACCATGTGTTAACCAGGTAGTGTAGGTTACTGAGTTATAGTCACAGAGCTAATTACCGATGGCCTGTGCCAGAGAATGGTGACCACACATCTGGCTGTCATGCTCCAATATCATCCTCACTCTAGCTTTTATCAGGCTCCTGCGATTTTCAGACTCCTTTGGTGTTTACTTGAGGCCCATTCCCATGCAGGGGTTTGTAACAGCCGCACTCGCTGACACTTGTGGTACCACAGTGGCTTTCTCACTGGGGATTGCCCGCCACACAGCTGCGGGTCACAGTGCTGGTGTTGGGTGGCTCCCCCTCAGCTTCCTCTCTGTGCTCAGTGCACAAAGGACTCTCTTGTGGCTACTTTGCTTCCTGTATTGGAAATCTCCAACGCTGGTTCAGTCCAAGAATCTATGACTTGATTAGGGAAATTTCAGATATGCTAAGACCACTGAATAAATTGAAAGTGTCAAATACTTATTCCGTTCTTTCTAGGATGTGGATTTTCCCTCCTAGTCTAATATTTCCATGTGGCCTACAACCATCACTGACAACCAGGTGGCACTGTGGAACTCACTTGTTGAGATCTGGTAAGGTGAGGACAATGGCAGTGACCTTGTGGACCAGTGGTTAGGGAGCCAGGTCCCACATGGCTGACCATGAGCTTCGAATACTGACCCTGGGGGTCTGAAAAAATATGGTAGGGACATGTGTGTGCTGCAAATCCCGATGGGATGGAGAAATGGAAGAGAAGGAATTGCAATGTGATCACATCCCATGGTGGGGGTTTTGCCCTCTCCCTTTCTCTCTCTCTCTCTCTTTGGCAAGCATAGGTGCCCCTTAGCTTACAAACAAACAAACAATAGTAAAAAAAATAAAAATAGAGACAGAAAAATCAGAACCTCTTTTAGTTTTAAAAGTTTTTTTTGCCATAGGGTGTGTGCACTTACCAGAGAGAGACAGAGAAAGACAATGAGAAGGAGAGTGAGAAATCAACTCCCGGGAAGGATGGCCATACCACAATCCCTTCTCCTGGGATTTTGGGCATGCACACACATGCACCTGGGGTGATTTTCAAGCCGTCAGGTCCAGAACTCAAACTGTGGTCAGTCATGTGGAGTCCAGCGCTTTAACTCCACCTGCTAGTCCCCGAGCACTCCATTTTTATTATTAGATGCAATAGATATACACTTACTTTATCCAATATCTCTTGAAATTTATAAATGCTTGCTCTCTATTTCATACCAGTTCATACTTTCTGTGCACAGAGTTCTCTTGTGGCTCTTTAGCTTCCTGTATTAGTGACCTCCAACCTTTGTATAGTCCAAGAATCTGTGACTTTACTAGAAAATTTCAGACAAGCTAAGGACAATGAATAAATTGAACTGTTAGCTCCCCTAACAGTCACTGAGCCAGCACCGATCTGGGGCACCTCTTCTTTGCTTCCATGATCCCCGTCTCTCCGTCCCTCTGGCCCAAGGGTAGTAACAACTCTGCCATCTTCAGCCCAGGTTCATGTAGCCTGTGGCTTCTCTACACCCCACGTGCATGGTTGTAATTGATCTTTTTGTAAAGATGTGAACCTGCCTCATCTTATCCTCATGTGAGCATGCCATCTGTTTCCTGCTGTGACTGAGACTGACCAGCAAGTAAAGGTCTCATCCTGGAAAAGGAGGTGATGGTGGGAATTTGGCAGGAGAGAGGAAGACACTGAAGTGACTAAATGGAGTGGAGTTAGTCCCATTTAAAGCAAAGTGAACACGTATGGGGCGAATGATGATTGAAAGCCATGCATTAAATGTCCTTAGGTTCACAGGATAGAACTGGGCTGGATTCATTTACATGAGTGACTATTCGGACAGAGAACGATATCTCAGATATTTTGAGAGATTAGCTGTAAGTGGACCTACTCCATTTTGGCAGGTGTAGATTTTTTGAGTAGGTTAGAGGCTCCTGTTACATGTCTGGCAACCCTTCCTTAAGCATCAAACCTCACTTCTGAATAAAGACATTGATTTCCAGGAATGGAGGGAAGAGTGAATATATTTCTCTAAGTGCTTGCCAGATAAACATTTTGTGCTTAGGAGAGTTTGTCTCATGTAGGTGTATGGGCAGGTTGTCACTTAAAATGCACTATGAATTGTAGTGTGGCTTGTCTGAGTGGGAAAAGCGGGGACCAAAGCTTACGATCACAGAGCTGAGAGGATCCGCTGTGAACTGTTTAACTTGTAAACAGACAGTGCTTTACCTTTGGCAGTCACTGCATCTGTTAATCTTAGTGTTGTTACTCTTACATGTATTTATTTACAGTCAGTCACTGTACATCAATATGGCAGGAAAATGAGATTTTCTATCCAGAACACATTGTATAATGGCTCAATCAAAGATATTACCATACATGTTACCATCAACAAATAATTTTTATTTATTGTTTCTTATATATTTTGCTTCCCACACTCCTTGATTCCCTACCTCTCACCCTCTGCCAACTTCCCTCTCCCGCCCATCTCCCTCACTGTCTCTGGTATTCTCTGCCATTTTTTTTTCACTTTTTATTGATTCACTAGAGATTTTAACTAATTTAAAGGCTTTCAATAATAAGCACAGCTGATCTATACATATTTAAGAACACATGTCTGATTATAGGCATAAACCTCAGTGAGTAAAGTGAACATATTATAAAGTAGCACCTAGCTGGGGCTATATAGATTACTGCACTCGTTGAGTAGGTATTAATAGGCATCTTTTAATGCATTATTTAATTTCAAAAACGTTTTAGTTTTAATAGATCAAAATAAAAACATGTTAAGAGAAATTTGCTTAAAACTTAAAGCCAGGAAAAGGTTAGGATTCAGTTCAAATAGTAGGTAGATGAACCTATCAACAGTTCAAGACAAAAATCCTTAAATATGAAATCAAAACATTGAAGAAAATTAGTAATCTTTAAGTCTAAATAAAAAAAAATTCTATTTCACTAGTTAAGACTCATGTAATTAATCTCTCTCCTATTGAATTTGCATTGTTACTGTAGTCTGATCTTTTCTATTTAAACTCTGGAAGTTCACCTTCAACTCTGGACTTGTCCCTACCATTAGGCCGGCCATTCTCTTGGTTGTTTCTTGTACTCTTATTTGTTTGTCTGACTTTAGTTTCTTGGTATAGGGTTTCCTTCAGCAATTCTTGGAGAGCTGGTCTGGTGTTGGTGAATTTTTTCAGGTGTTGTTTATCTGAGAATGTTTTTGTCTTTTTTTTCCATATGAAAGAATCTTGCTGGGTATAGTATTCTTGGTTGAAATTGTTTTTCACTTAACACTTTGAATATATTTCCCATTCTTTCCTTGCTTGCATTGTTTCTGATGAGAGGTCTGATGTTAGCTTTATGGGATATCCTTTGAAAGTAACTTGACGCATCTCTCTTGCCAACTTTAATATCTTGTCTCTGTGGTTTTGGTCAGTCTGGCTATGATGTGCTTCAGGGAAGGTCTTCTTAGGTTGATTCTATGTAGGGCCCTTTGTATTTCTTGGGTCTGGATATTTGAGTGCCTGTCTAGTTTTGTAAAGTTTTCTTCCAGGATTTCATGGAATAGTTTATCAATGCCCTTATTAGTTTCTCACCTTCTGGGATACTGATTATCTGGATGTTTGGGCGGTTAATGGTATTTAATATTACTTGTATGGTATTCTTATTTATTTATTTTTTTTTGGTTATTTTGTCAGTCTTTCTGGTAAACTTTTCTAGGTCAGAGGTTCTGTCTCCTACATCTGAGATTTGATCTTTGGCATGATCTAATTTGCTTTTGTTGTTTTCAATGGAAGTTTTGATTTCCTGTATTACAGCCTTCATCTCCAACAATTCCATTTGATTCTTTTTTATGATACGTATCCCCTCTTTCAGATCGTGCAAGAACTTCCTCACCTCCTGGAATTTGGTGTCCCTTTTCTTCTGCATCTTCTGGAGTTTGTTGTCTCTCTTCTCTTGCATCTCTATTAGAGATGAATATTCACCACTATGAATATTTTAAATTCTTTATCTGACATTTCCTTGAGTTCCTTTGTACTCTTTGTGGAGAAAAAGGAGTTATTCTTCTCAATTAGAGGAGAAATATTTTCTTTGTTTTTCATATATCGTGTGCCTTTGTGGTGGTTTCTGGTCATCTGATGGCTTATATGTTTTATCCTATTTTTTGGATTAAATCCGAGCCAACAGAGGAATGTAGAAGGAGGTGACCTGCAGTCTGTAAACAGTACCATTTTTCTCTATTTGCACAACTGATTTAGTGAAAATTGAGAATTAATCTGACCCTAAAAATATTCTGATATTTGACTACTGAGCATCTAGACCTGTCTAAACAATCAGTGTGTGCAGGCTGAACAGGAAAGAGAGAAAGGTAAAAAGAAATAGAAGAAACCAAAGAAGAGGGAAAAAAGATGAAAGTAATAAAAAAAGACAAGAAAAAGTTTTTCGTGTCAAAAAATGAAAACCACAGAGCCCAGAATGGGGCTGTTCAGAACTCAAATATAGATGGCTGCTGATTGGCTTATCTTATGGGGACGGGGGAAAGGGAAGAATTAGAAAGACCAGAGAGCAGTACATAGCTAAGTTTAAAAATTTTAAAGAAATTAAAATAGAGACAGATGGAAAGAGACAGAGAGAATAAATAGGATGTTCTAACCTGGCTCCTGGCTAGACTGGGGAGCAGGGGGTGAAGTCTGGGCAGAGTTTTTGGTGATCAAAATTCCTTAGTGTCGTTACTCTTGTAACTAGTTAAGAGCTTGTTAGTGGCTGGGGAACGTGGATTTTAGAAGTGTTAGAAACTGCAGAGGAGGATACTTTACTTGCATCTTTCTCCTTTCTCTATCTGCACTTTCTGTTTCAATAGAACAGTCTCCTTTTAATTTGTGAGAAGTAAACCTCAGCGTTTCACTGTGTCAGCAGTTTACATAAGGCCACACAGGAGAGCCAACGACTCGAACTGTCCCCGTGCTCCTTTAATGTCTTGAAGTAAGAAACGTTCAAAGCATTTCAGAACAGTGACTTTAGAAGTGCCGCTGGGGTAGATTAATTTGTAGGAGTGACTGTTCAGAGAAGACTCTCCATGGTACTTACGTACACGGTAAGTGTGGGGTTTGGATAGCAGATAAGATAGGAGTTAGCTTGTCTTATAACCTGGCAGTGATAGACTGGTGAAAGTCAATTAGAACCATCGCCAGCAGAGTAATGTGCTTTTGGTTGATTTTACCTGTTGACATGGTCTTGGACCTTCCTCGCTTTTTTGCTGTTTTTTTAAATTTAATTTGCCTCAGCGCACATGCATATGCCATCAGAAAAGGAGGGAGAGAGAGAAAGCAGGAAACTACGCCCCAGGAGAGGTGGCCACACCGTAATCTCACCTCCTCCATTCTCCTCTGGGGATTTTGGGGACTCACGCACATGGGTCCAGCTTGTTTGTCAAACCACCAGGTCCAGGACTCAAACTGTCTAATTGGCCGTGTGGGGTTCAGTACCTTAACCTCTACACACTGACTGGTCTTTCTTTCTACAGCTTTACTTTTCCTCTTTGAACCTGGTTGCTCCCACCTCCTGTGGGGGATTGTCAATCACTGTTCTTAACTCCACCTTAGTGCCACAAGCTGAGAAGCCACCAGGTTGGGCCAGCCTCAATCTTTCCACAGAACTTTCCAGGAAGTGAAGAGCAGTATCCTTGACTCTTGTGCAAGGCTCCAGAGCAGCCGGTGGCCACTTCCCTGGTTTTGGTCCCTGCCCTCCTCACTGCGTTTCTGTTTTTTCTGTAGGTGCATTGATTTCGTGAGAGACTCGAGTTACTGTAATGGTTAATAAGTCCTCCCCTCTTTGTTTTTTGGCTTTGAGCAATTCGATTTGGGTTTCTTGCAATAAAAATGATTGAATACAGCAGTTAATTGCTGAGATTTTTATTTCAGACACAGTTCCTGGCTCTAGTATCTAGCTTGGTCTTTTAGCACTTTGTGAACTGTTCCTGTCAAAGTCTAGATTCAACCTATTTTAGGCAAAGCCCAACAAAATCTCTATTTTATTCCAGTCCTGGTGAGCAGAAGTCTTTCAAAACTTATGGATACTCTCCAGTTCATTTTAATTCCTCTTTGGAAGACATAGAAACATTGCAGATATTTTAATTTTTGCATTTAGCACAGTTAGTACATCAAAAGTGATGGGTGTCCGTCAGTGGTCATGTGGCATAGGAGGGAGTAAGATTTGATGTCCCTGAAATGTTTTGGAGCTAAGGGGGCCCCAGTCTATTTTGTATACTGCCTGAGGTTCAGAACAGATAGCGTGCTGAAATAATATTCTATGTATAGAAGCCTGTGATTTTTAATAGCAGGAGCGGGATCACTGAGGGAGTAACTTATACACCTTGACAAGCCGTGCAAAATCAGACGTTTTAGATAACTCCAAGGAAGATGTTTAATGTAGGATATGAATCTAGGCCATACTTCATATGCCACGTGTTCACAGGAAAATGCAGTTTCTTAGCAACCATCACCTGACTGTCAAGTTGTTACTTGATCTTTATAGACACCTGGCTTTTTTAGGCACATGCCTCACTGATACTCAAGCATAGTTTCTAGGTGAGCATCGAAATAATGACATTTCACTTTCTTGTACATGATACTTTAAAAATTAATTGTTCAGGGACCAGCAGTTAGCGTAATGGCTATGTCGCTGGACTCCCATGTAGTCGACCACAGTTTGAGTCCCAGACCCGGTAGCTGAAACTCATGCTAGACGCATGTGCATGCATGCCCAAGATCCCGAGAGTAGAATGGAGGAGAAGGAATTGCAGCATGGCCATCCCCCCTGGGGGGGTGATTTCTTGCTTTCTGTCTCTCTGTCTCTATGTTTCTGGCAAGTGCATGCATTGTATAGTAAAAAAATCTCAAAAAAATTAATTGTTCAAATTTTATACTTAAAAAATAAGACAAACCATTGCAGGGGATCAATGCAGAGAATGAGATAAAAAATTCTGAACTTGTGTTTCTGTGAATGAATGAATGTGTTCATTTGTTCCATAAAATGTATATGCACTGTCTACTGATGCCGGGCCCAAAGGAAAGAAAGATGACTCAGAGCCCATCCCTGGACTGAGTCCCACAGTGAGGAGCACCTCATCATGTAAGAAAACCAACAGTGGTACCAGCAGATGGTGTAAAGGTTATGTTACTGGACTCCCATGTGGTCAACTGCAGTTCTGGTCCTGGACCCAGTGGCTTAAAACTCACACCGGGCATGTGTGCATGTGTGCCTAAAATTCTGAGAGAAGAATAGAGGGGAGGGGATTGTGGTGTGGCCAGCCCCCCGGGGGGCCAGTTCTCACTTTCTGTCTAGGAGCACACACACCCTATAGCAAAAATCTCTCAAAAACAAAACAATGATACCACAGCTCATGGTGTGACAACATGGGGCAGGCGAGTAGATAACCAGGCAGGCACAGATGGAATGCCAGGAAGCAGTGGGGGAATTCCCCTTAGGTGGGGTGGAAGTCAATCAGAAATACTTCACAAAGGAGATGGAGTTGGACTATTGGAGTGATTTCAGTGAATCCTGTCTAATTTCTTTCTGTCCATGACTCCTCTGTCCCCCCATAACTGGAACCAAGGGCCTTACCCTGTGACTGGAGATGAATTTTGCAATCAGTGATTCCAATAGAGACACGTCACACATAGATATGTGTTGGGGTGATGTATTCCAGATCACATGATTACTAGGATTACTTGAAGGAGAAAGAAAATGTAAACAAATTAGTATTAGCTGGAAAAAGCAGGCTACTTAGCACCGTATGCACTGGAACCCCAGTTACGCTGCACGTCTACACATGTTTGTGGGGCTACGAATCATTGTAAATTGGTTCTTTGATAAAATGTTAATATCTTCTCAAGTTTTTTTTTCCCTAATAAATGTGTATATCAGTGAACTAGAAGAAGAAATCTCAGTTGATGGGATTTGAATTTTCCCATTTGTTCTTGTTAATGCTTTCCAGTTTTCTTCAATGAACAACTATTTTCTGCCTTCCTCATCCACGGGTCCTGTGTCTGCAGACACAATCAACTGAGGATCAAAAATACTTGGGAAGAAACACAATATAACAACTATTTATATGGCATTTACTTTTATTAGGTATTGTAAGTAATCTAGAGATGATTTAAAGTGTATGAGAAGGAACCAAGCAGTGATGTGGTGGTTAAGGTGAGTGGATCACACATGTCCAGCTGTGTGGTTTGAGTCCCAGACCAGGTAGCTTGAAAAACATGCCTGATAAATATGCATGTATGCTCAAAATCCTGAGAAGAAAAAGGAGGAAAAGGGATCGCGGCGTGGCCATCCTGCATAGGCGGTGCTTTCTCACTTTCCCTCTTTCTCGCTTTGTCTTTCTCCAGAGAGTGTGCGTACCCTCTAGCAAATAAAATGTGTACAGGAAGATGTGCACGGGTTATATGGAAATACCATGCCATTTTATATTAGCAACTTGAGCATCTTTGAATTTTGGTATCCATGGGGGTTCTGAATTTTGGTATCCATGGAGGTCCTGGAACGAATCCTCTGCAGATACTAGTGGACATGATATTCCAGGAAAAGCTAATACATATTAAAAAAAATGAAGACAAACAAAAAAACCTAGAAGAGGAAAAGTTAACAACTTTGGGGACTGAAGGATTTAAGAAAACATGGTCACTCACATGCTCAACATCTCACACATTTTCTTCTCTATCAGTCCAGTAATAATTACATCTTTGAAACATTTCACCTCAGAATCTCTGTAACCACAACCCCTTCACTAATGATTGGGTAGAAGCAGGCACATGGGACAGTTCTGACAATGAAGCCATTATAGTGTGTGTGCTAAGGTAGTGCATGTGCTTAAAAGGAGTAAGAAAGAAATACCCTCTTCCTCGGAGCATTGTGTGTAAGCGTACTCTCCAGAGCATCCATCTAGTTAATATTTGGGTTGAATTGTGTCTCTCCAAAATTATTTATTGGAGCCCTACCTTCCAGTACTTCAGAATTTGACTTTATTTGGAAATAGTCATCGTGGATTAATTAATTCCATAGTGGGGTCATAGTGGAATAGAGTATGTCCCTAATCCAGTATGAACAGTGTCCCTATTAAAAGGGGAGGTCTGGACATAAGAAAAAGACCATGTACAGATGAAGACAGAGATTGTGGTGCTATGAGCTAAGAAATGCTAGTGTTTGTCAATGCGCTAGCAGAAGTTAGGACAGAGCCTGCAGGAGAGAGGGTCCCTCAGAGCTCTCAAAAGGAACCAAACACATGTATGTTATCTTGGACTTCCAGCCCCCAGAACTGTAAGAAAACACATTTCTGTTATTTAAGCCACCCAGGGTGAGGTGCTTTGTCATGGCAGCCCTTGCAAACTGATAGGGCTACCTTGAAAAGAGCATGAAGGCAAAGGTCATGTGCGAGGATGGGGCATAGAGAACGGACAGATGATCCACAAGGATGTCCTTAGCAGCCCCATTAACAATCCTCCTCCTTGGAGTTCCCCTTCCTTGAGACTTCCTGGTTATGTAGTAATAACTTCTAGTTGTACAAACCATTTTGAGGTGCTCTTCAGTTGCTACTAGTTGTAGTAAGCTACCAATTGAGCCCTCCAATGTTTTCTTCTGCAATCCAAATTTCGATGTCCAATTCTGCTCACTGACCACCCTCTTTGAAGACCCTGGTTCCCCAGATGTGTCTCTTTATGTCTAAAGAGGAAAAAGAGAGAAAAATCTTTCCTTCTCCCAATAGATTTCCTAGTTTCTGTGAAAACTAGAAGGATTTTATCTAACTCTTCTTTCCAATATGAGTCAAGCCCAGCCATGACCTTTGTTATGGCATTTTAATGGCTAAATTTTATGAGCAAAGGCCCAGCAGACAGACTGTTAGTTCTTTCACTGTTATACTTTCTTCATGGTGCTTTAGGGAGTGTAGACTAAGCATCCCTAACATCAAAATCCCAAATGCTTCAAAATCCAAAACTTTTTGAACACCAACATAATGCCACAAGTGGAAAATTCTACACCTGACTTCACATGTTGGGTTGCAGTAAAACAGTGCAATAAAAAATATTGCATTGTAAAATTACCTTCAGGCTATATGTAGAGAATGACATGAAACACAAATGAATTTCATGCTTGGATTTGAATCCCATCTTCAAGATATCCCATTATGTACATTCAAATATTCTAAAATCTGAAACACTTCTGGTTTCCAGATTTCCAGATAAGGGCCACTCAACTTGCATGAAACAAAGCAAACAAAAAAATGCATCTTCAAGTCCTGTGTTCTAGCTCCTCACTTTTGGGAGCTAACTTTTGGGTCTGGAGTCTCTAGGAGTGAAAAAGAGACATCTTCATACTCTGTGGTAGAAAAATGATTTAGTGAGGTTGGGAGGTTGGATATAATCTCTAAGAAAAAGAGAGAGGAGTTATGAGTTTGTCGTCCCCAAATATACTTTCCTGGCATACTGACTATTCTGAATTAAAGGTATTTAATTCTTTTTTAAAAAAAGAATTATTTTATTTAAATTTTTAAAATAATTTATTTTATTTATTTATTTTGATTTGACCAGAGAGGGATAGAGTAAGAGAGAGAGAAAGAGAAAGAGGGAGAGAGAGAGAGAAAGTCACCAAATCCGGGACTCGAACTGCAGTTGGTCATGTGGGTGTCCAGCGCCCTTAACCCCCATGCCATCTGCTGGCCCCTTGAATTAAAGGCATTTAAAACAGTAAGAACAGCAGCTTACTCTCACTGACCCTCATATTGTTTCTTAAAGGAAAGAGGAAATCCCTATGTGAAAGATATCCTCCCTATAACAGAAGGAATAAAGAATACTCTCATCATCAGGAAGTTGAAACAGAGAAAATTCTGTACAGACCGTATTAAAATCATTTGTATCTTTTAAGCCTTTGCAGATAATTTAGTTGCTTTTTCACCACATACTATTCTTTGACCAATTCAATGTGCGAGGGATTGGCACTTAAGCGCAGTTTCGGGTCTTCACTTCCTTATAAGGGCTTCCATGCCACATCCGTCTTGTCATAAATTAATTTGTGTGCCTTCCTCTGTTAATCTGTCTTATGTGAATTTAATTCTCAGGCACAGCTGGGACCTTAATAGTCTGGCCCTAATCTGGCTGCTTCTACAAGAGATGAGAGATGCTTAGGCCACCATGAGAGCTGGCCCAGGCTTAGCAGTGGGCCCTGCGTCTCAACCCGACTCTCAGAGCTCCCTGTCTTGGAACACCCCAGTTGCTAATGCCTGCTGTCCTGGCTCTGGCTCAAGGTTGGGACATTGAAGAACTTTCCCTATTACATTAAGATTCCCAACACTTCCTCACCTTCATATGGCATCCCTGTGTCTTATAAGTAGACAACCTAACTCACACTTTCCCATAGGAATGGGATGTAGATTTGGGGGAGTAGAATAATTTTTTATTCTCGTATAAGCTATCCAGTCCCAATTTCTAGGCAGAACTGCTGCTGGCTATCCTGCTTTCATTTGTATAGTGGGACCTGGGCTGGAAGGATCTTCTGGTAAAACTTTGGAATTTTCACTTAGAGATATTGGTCTGAGCTGTTATCTATTACTTATTCATTAAAGAAACGGTGCTGGATTGGTATTTAGGGGAAGATATTTTTGGTGGTGGTATTTTCCTGCTG